CAGATCCAGTTTTGGAGTAGGCCAATTTATTGTTATTATTATATTATCCAACCAACAAGTCCGATAACCAACTTGCTAAGTCCAGTGGACTTGGTACTAATGCGGTACATAAGCACTCTACGATCATCCCTGTTATGTGTCTTTCGTCTTAACAGGAGAGGTTCGAAAAAACTATACCATTTATTATTAGTAATCATCGTCCGATCGAGACCATGTGAGGAACTACAAAGAACAATTACTCAAGCCTCAGCATATGACATCGATCATGGCCAATTCCTACCACAATCATCATTACGAAATGATTACTTGGTCAAATATTATCTGTGGTAATTGACAACAGAGCGTTCCAAATGACTATGTTATTAAAAAATAATTTAAGGCCCGCGTACTGCAGAGTACTGTATAAATTGTTTCAATAATATTAATTGTCTGTACATGGAACCTTTCGAATTGTTTTTTTTTAGAAAGCAATTAAGGTGTTGTTTTTCAAGGTTTCTAATCTTATTTCAAAATTCAATTCGCAGCACATAGATTGACTGGTATGAGTTTAAAGTCAACTGTCGGCTACAGCAGTGTACAATATAATACAAACATAACTAACCATGGATCATTCTTTAATCCAAAAAAGTTCAAAAATTATTTAAAATAACCATGTAAATTTTAGCCCGTTTAATGTTTTTAATCGAGCGCAAAATCAGAAAATTGCATACACCAGGCAACAATAGTAGAATTATAAATTAAATATTTAACTGTTCTTTTTAAAATTTTGTTGAAAACCCAATCAGTAGATAGGCTTATATGCAAAACGGTCCTGCTTAAACAAAACAATTAAAAATCACATGGACTGAACTTCCCGAATCAACTCACAACATCAGACTAGAAAGAAGAACACAAAAACGTAAACATTTTCATCATATTTTCATAAGGAAAACCATATGAAGTACATAATTCGGAAGACGTACATTAAAACAAAATAACATGTGGGGCCTATATTACTATAAAACAATAACACTGACACTGACAAACATAATAAAACAAAAAATTCAGTAATAAGCATAAAAAAGACCAAGTATTTTAACTGCATTTAGTATGAGCATAGAGAAAATACAATCAGAGATTGTATTGTTATTATTATTATTGATTGTATTAGAAAAAAAAACCAGTACTATAATAATATTTATTCGACAATTACTTTTGTAACAGTGGTAACACACAATTAAGTGGTGCATTCATTCTTAAATTAAGAAATATTTAAGAAGTGAATAACGGGAAAAAAAAACAAAAAGAAAAAAGTGCTTAAGTTGTAGAAAACAAAATCAATTTAGACTAAGCTTAACAACAGTATCTACCAATACTAAACTAGAATTCAACATAAACAAAGAGCTTAACAAGTAGTACTTTTGAGTCATAACTGGTGGTGATTCTTAGATAGAATTTTGGATTTTCTCATCTCTATTTCTAAACGATTGTTTTAGTTTGGTCAATGTTTGTGTCCAGACAAGCTCCTCCCACGTTTCTTTGTATATTTATATATTTTGTCATATATTTGTAATACATCAATAAATGAATAAATAATATAATTTAAAAAAAAAAAGCTCCCGGTAAAAGACTATGCTAAAAATAGTAATATGGAGTGTTCTGTTTTACTGATGACAAAATAAAATTGAACTTCGTAGGACTATTACTATGTAATTGAAATAGTTACACGCTATAACCATCTATAACCGATTGAATATTCCACTTCTAATATTTTAGTGATATAGAGGGTGGCCTGCCAATGTGTTGATATCGAACGCAATCGGATTTGTATATGGCCCTTTGGTGTAGGTATGAGTATGTAGTCTATATAAGCTTAACACCATCTCAATGCGTTTTTGGTAAATTATTAACCGGGGTTAACTGTGAATAGGCATATTCTAGATTGGATTTACAGTATTGAACGAAGTACGATGACAAACTTCAACAGAAGCGTCGTTTGGGGTAGATGCAATGTAGCCTAAGCACGATTTCTCAGCATAATCAGTGTCGCACGTTCTGCAGTATCATCGCTGGAGTATTAGGCCGAATCTTGATGTGCTGACGAAGTACGCGTATCTGGCAGTGCATCAACGGTTTATCTTAGCTAAAAAAGCATTATGGCTGACTGTCTGTCATGGTTTCATTTCGTACTTCCTTTTCACTTTTTCACTATTCAGCAGGCATATTAAAAAAAAATCAAAATACTGTACGTCGAAACTAAATTTTAAATAATGCTATCAAGCAGACGATATAGCCTAATTACATTTGACCCCAAGGTCAACAACTTAGTAACGATTCATATTTAAAAAAACGCTACCACAACAGACTTGGTAACGACTCATATTTAATATAATACTAACACAACAGCTGTTATTTCTTATTGTGTTACCGTTGCTACTAATGTTTACCTTTAATTATATATTAATTACTATTATCATTATTAGTAGCGTTTCCTTTATACCCTATTCATTAAAGAATGCATTGAATAATGCCAAAGCAGAGGAAAATTGTAATTAATAACAAGCGTAAATAGCTCACTGGCGATAATAAAACAAAATTGCTACTGCATGTTACATGAACATAAATAATAAAGCAACTGGATTTAATATACTATTTTCCAAATTCTAAATAATTTATAAATGGCCTGCAGATTCAAAATTCAATTATTCATTGCTACAGAAACCATGGGTTATTATCCGCCAAACAAGCAGCACAACGTAGGCCTACACATTAGAAAATACAAAGTGAACAAAATATCCCGTCCCTTCCTAACCCAAGTATGTATTAATGAGGGAGGGATGTTAATATCCCGCTAAGGCCCCAATGAGCCGCATACCCGGCAAATTATACATATTAGGCCTACAGGATCTTATTTTAGAAGACTAACGAGTCGAATACAGTCATAGATCACAACAATTTTGATAATAACACAATTCAATAACCGATGTTAAATGGACATTGAATTTAAATGTACCAAGCAAAAATCAGCTACGGTTAGTGAAGCAATTAATTGCTACAAAGGTGCAGAATGGCCATTGGTGAACATAAGACATGTAATCACAACGCGTCATCGCCACATTTAATGACGCATTACATTGACAGACGTTAAACATATGGAATTGCTCACACGCTGCTGAATTTATAACGCGTCATATAATAACATTTAATGACGCGTTACAATGCATAACATAGATTATACATTTGGGATCACTCACATGTACAATTCTAAAAAAATGTTAATTTTTGCACAAAAGGTTAACCAGGGCCAACATAAAAGTAGAGAGGCCAAAGCTACATATAGTCTAGGCCTAATAGTTAAAAAACTTATTTTGACGGGACTTAGGACGTCTTTACGTTTCTCCAGCCCTATGTCCAGACTACCAAATTTTATTTGACAAAAACATGTGACATATGGTCATGATGACATCACATCATGACCATATATAGGCACATAATGACTATATAAGGGCATACAACCGGTTTTTTTTGTCAAGGAAAATTTGAGTGTGGACAGAGCAAACAAAGGCGTGTCAATCAAACTTAACACCTAATCAGAAAAGTGCCAAGAGTACGCGCGTGTCCTACAAACACACGTGTTGTCCAATAAACGCACGTGTTTGCGTATGTTTTACACTATCGGTGTGTGGGAATTTGGCAACAATATCTAAGGGGCGGGGCTTAGCGGAAAGGTTAATTCTACACAGAATTTCGGTAAGAAAGACAAAAAGTCTGACCCTCTGACACCCCTTAAATCCTAACGACCAACTAGCTGTCTACCCGCGGAGTACCTTTATCTAAATGGCTTTGAAAGTGTGACTCAATTCCAATTTATTTATTATATATGATTTAACCAAAAAAGCAAAGCTTGTAAACATGACACGCAGTCATACAAATAATAGCAAAAATGAAAAAAAATTAAAATATTGATAGGCCTAACTACGGTGTATAATTAAATTTATGAGTAATAGTATCTGAAAAATATGAATTTTAAGGTTTGTTTTAAATGTGTTAAGTTCTGTGCAGTTCTTAAGATACACTGGTAACAAGTTCCAGAATGTTGGACCAGTAACGAAGATAGTGTGTGATGAGAATTTGTGCGTGGAAATGGCTATGGAAGTCAGAAGAATGTCTAGTTGGATAGTTGTGGATTTTAAAAAATTCTCGTGAAATGTGTTAGCAAGCGGAACTGAGAAAGAATGAACTAAGAACATAAAGCAAACAACATTAAAATGAAACAAATCATATATGTTAAGCAGTTGTAATTTGGACATTTTTAGGCATCCCAACAAGCTCCAGTCGGCAATAATGAAACGAGTTTATCAATAAGACTCGATCGAAAGCACTCAAATCAGTTAAAAGTTTTGGGTCCTTAAAACTCCAAACTACTATAGGTGGCGCTATTCATGAAGTAACGTAGAAACTATTCTCTTCAAAAAAAATAAATAATGTTTAGACGAAATACCAAAACGTATTTAGAAGCACTTTACTGCATATAATACAATATGCCTGCTTTTCAAAACATTCGAACGTATGCTCCATGTCACAAGTGTCCTATGTCCTAATTATTCAAAACTTATTTACAGGTGTCAAAATACACGATGATGTAAATCTAAAAATAGATTGAAGATATTAGTAAGAGTTTTATTAGATAATTGATGCGCATTACATTATATAGGCTTATATAATAATTACCTATTTATTTATGTATGTATGTGGGTATGTAGACCTATATGTATGTATTCGCATTGTTTACCGAAAGGGTTGCAGGTTAAAACCCCGCCGCCAGAGAAACTATTATTCGTCCAACTGAAAAATGAACTTTTCGTGTCGTGATACAATAATGACATCACACATTTCTATTCAAGCACTCTTACTATTTATCTAGGTCTTTTTGTCTATATTGTGTTTACAGTTCTACGCAGCAGACATGGAGAATCTAAATGAGGCCTAAGGACTGAAAACATGTAGTCAAAGAGCCTTACCAATGAATACGATTGTGCATTTCCGTACATCACTGTTCCATTCTGTAGTTGAAATTCTGTCGTACAACTCCTGGACAACTTGTACTAGGATTCTTCTAGGTTCATTTTTTACCGAAACCTCACCCTGAATATTAATATAATATAGAAATAAAATTAAATATTAATATTATTACTTTATAAATATACGTAGGCCTATATAAATATTGAACATTAAACATCAACATTTGGTACTGCACCTTTTTTTTCGCATATTCGTCATCATTATCTTTAATATTTTAACGAAAGAACTAAATCATTAAACGTGCCAATCTGGTTAAATACATGAAACGAATTTCAAACTTGTTAAACCCTGGGGACTTCTGGTGATCGCTTAATTCACCTCTCTAATAACATGTTTATCATAACGCACTGTGTTTGGATATAACGCTTAAAGCAGGGACCAGTCTGAGTTTATAACTTCACACACACACACAGCTACGTGTAAAATACTCTGTCCAGACTATCAAAAACTGTTGTATGCCCATATATAGTCATGCTGTGCCTATATATGGTCACGATATGATGTCATCATGACCATATTTAGGCATGTCACATGTCTTTGTCAAATACAGTTTGTTGGTCTGGTCAAGGCTTTAACTTTGATATTAAGGTACTCAGAAATGATAGGCCTACTCGAGTTTGAATATTGCGCCTACCCAGGGACCAGTTTTATAACTTCATACACACAGCTAAATCTTATGTTTGTGATATTATTACAGTACAGTTCTCGGAACTCTTGATCCATAGAGGCCTAGAATGCCACGGTCGACCCGTATGTAACTAATCACGAACAGGATATTGCATTGCATACGGGATAAGTAGTGGCAAAAATAGAACCAGATACCATTAATATTGAACCCTTGCTAAATAAAGTGTCTTATCCGTGATGGAATTACTAGGCTGCCTCAGAGACAACATCGTAGTCTCGGGTCGCGTCATCTAATCGTCGTAATTATTCTAAGGCTGCGTCACCTGCGCGTCATGGGTTTTCGCTACCCAACGAAGACGACGATACCGTTAGTGCTACGGCCATAAGTTTTAGAATGTTTGATATGTTTCTTATTCAGCGTATCTGTATTTCTCGAAACGACGATAAAATTCGTGAGTAAGAACACGAATATTATTTGAAATAACTATCAAGCCCTGATATGTACATTTATTATACGCATAAATGTTTTCAATAATACTTAATTTACTGTCGTCGTAAAACAGGAATAGTTGCATATATAGAATGTTACAGATATGTAACATTGTAAAACTCTGGGGTCTATTGCATTTAGTATTAATATATAATTAGGCTTATTATAAGGCCTATTATTAATAATTTATTATTTAATAATAATAATAATAATAATAAAAATAATAATAATAATAATTGTAATATTATGTAAATATTATTGTTTCTACTATTACCAGACCTAATAATATTACTGCTAGAAATATAATTATTGATAATTACTTTTGTATTATCACTAAAGAATCGTCATCATCATTAACGGATATTATTATTATTATTATTATTATTATTATTATTATTATTATTATTATTATTATTATTATTATTAATAATATTTGTATTAAGTATAAAATTTACAATAAATATTATCATTATTAATATTATCATTATAAATGCTATTGATATTGATAGGCCTAAGTATGTGTTCTTGTTCACTGTGAATCCCTCATGACTCTTCATTCCTTCCTTTGTTAATTCACAAGTTTCTCCTTGTTTTCATAGATCAAGATCCAGCACAAACTTGGCCTTAGTAAATTTACTCTATGGCATCCACAGTCACACAAAATGCTGCACAACCGTCGTTTGAGCATTCATCCGCTGGGCATATTAATACTAAAGCGAAAGCAACGGGCTCGATTTCAAACAAAACGTGCAACTTCGTCAGCGAAAGTCATGATGCTATTCGACTGCAGACGCAAGGAGGAAAAAACAGATTACATACCAAACGTTAAAGAGGGGGTTGCTCAGCTCATTGTGTGACAAGTGACGCGGCCATGGCTCGAGCAAACCCGTCAACTCAGGCATGATTTGCAAAATTTTGAGAACTGAAGTGAACAAGGCGCGAATACTCCTCCTACTCCGCCTATAGATTGTCTCGCAAATCCTCGCATCCTCAAGCTTTCGTTTGTAAACTCCTTCTTTCATAATTCCTAGCCTGCTTGTCTATGTCATGACAGTGAAGCTCCGACCGACGTCTCTGGGGAATTCAGATGAGGGGAAAAAAAACTAGCACATGCATGTTTTAGCTGGCAAATCATGAATTAGATCTATTACTGTGCACACAGTTGATAGGACACCTTAAGTTATGAGATTATATCAGTCAAGTTAACTCACTCACCGACTCTATGTTAAAA